GAAGACCCCGGGTCTTCACAACAACAGGTTATGCCAGCCCAATTGCGTGATGATGCGCAAGAGGATGTTGCTGCTCGTGAAGAGCAGGTTGGTCACAGAGCTGAGACACAACCTCCAAGGTTGACGGCAAGTTATGGCACGATGCCAGATGGCGCAGGTGCTGTATCTGTCAATGGGGGTGGAGCATCCACTGAAGCCCCAGCCGTGGTGCAGGCCCCAGCTGGCCCTCAACAGGACTCGACTACAGCGAGTACGATTGCGGAGCGGCGGGACAGAGCGCTGGTTGGAACAGAGCTACAGGAAGGAGCCCAGGCAGCAGGCTCGACTGGATTTGTGACTCCGAGGTCTAGCAGGGCCCCGGAGGGCTACCAGAACAACTGGATGGGCATGGAGTTGCCACGATGGGTGACGCGGCTGGGATCAATGCTGAATATTCCAGCCATACCGTCGCCAGGAGAATTTGTGCCGAGTCCCATGCTGAGTGATGGACCGCGACCTGTGCCCCCGGGTGGGCACGCCTTTGTGCTTTCGCCCCCGCGGCGACGGCCCTCAATGCGAGCGCCCTCACCACCGAGCTCGTCGAGTGTTCCACAAGAGGCTATTCAGGCGGAAGTGCAGCGGCAGCTGGGCAGTCTCCTGGAGAGATTGCAAAGAGCAGAGGGCGATAATGTGGCTCTATGGGAGCAGCTGAGAGCAGTACAAGCTGGAGGGAACGCTAGACCTAGAGCTCTGCTGGGTGATCTTCTTGAGGCCCCGAGTGGACCAGGGCCGTTGTCACAAGGCGCCCACTCCAACATAGCGCCACCTCAAGGAGAAGAGCCTCCTGAGCTACTTGCGGGACACGGTGTATTTGGAGATGATCCCTCAGGACTTCAACCTGGACGTGCACGAGATTGGCAAGAAAGGGTACCACCAGGGGATCCTCTCAGGGTATTTGGATCTCGAGAGCCAGTATTAGGTTCTAACGTACCATGGGATGATCCACTCCAACAACCTCTAAGTTCAGGACAAGGGTTGGGCCCTACAGTACCACGCGGGGATCATTCAGGGTTACCTGGGATTCCAAGTCGAGGTCAGGGTGCACGACTACCAGAAGGAGATCCCGATTTTGAGTGGACGGGAGCCCCGGCAGCTACTTCAATGAGGGGAGCTGATATCCCTCAGACTACAGTGCCACTTGCTGAGCCGACAAACCCGCCCAGCCTGTTGAGGTCGCTGCTGGGAGGAAGAGCCAGAACACCATCACCACCACGACCTCCAGAAGGCTCAGACTCACCTGTTCTTCAAGCATTGACTTCCGGGATGCGACAACTACAAGAATTGCAAGCTCAAGCTATGTCGCGCATGCCAGCCTCCGCCCCCAGTGAGCTAGTCAAGCCCGGGACTACAACACTAAGTCCTTTACCCGAAGCAACAACCACGGCGGACTCAGCATTGAAGTTTCAAGACTGGGTGGAAGTTACTGGGGCAGCAATGGCAGATGTATCGGAGCAAAGCTCGATTTGGTGGTCTTCGCTTACCAAGGTAGTGGATAGCGCATATTCGCGTTGGTTGGCAGCTACCCCATTGGAACGACTGAGTATTGACGTGGTTGGGGCCAAGGAGCTCACGGAAGGAAGATGGGTTCGTGTCAATGCTCGGGTTGCTACAATGTTGTTGGGGAGCATGCGGGAGGACGTGAAGATGGATATGATTTCAAGGCGGATTTCACAGAGTTGTCCGTTGATGATGTACAGGCTGTACACTTACTATCAGCCTGGAGGCCCAGCTGAGCGCCACGATCTTCTTCGTCGTCTTCAGAGCCCCGGGGACTATTGCAAAAGCGAGGCCCTGGATGATGTCTTACAGACGGTTAGAAGTTGGCCCCGGTGGCTTTCGAGATGCCGCACCGTAAACATGGTTCCTCCGGATGCTTCAGTGCTTGCGAAGGGGCTTATGTCTTTGACCCACAAGCATATATCCTCTTCTGGGGACTCCAGCTTCCGAACTTCAATGCTGAGGACGTCCTTGAGGTTGGATGGGCAGCCGTCGTTGGATCAGGTGTTCTCATACCAAAGACACCTTCAGGCAGAGCTGGAGATGATGAGTGCATCGGCGACATCCACAACGGCTGGAGCAGCGGTGAGGGCTCTTGAGGCCCCCCAGGGAGGCACTACGAAACCTAAGCTCAAGGACAAGGAGAAGACTGGAGACCAGCTATGTCGATACTTCGGGAAACCCAGTGGATGCAAACGGGGCGAGAAATGTTCCTTCAGTCACTCAATGAGCCACTTGGACCGGGATTCCAGGAATAAGAAGTGCTTGAAATGTGGCAGTGAAGCCCATCGGCAGCGTGAGTGTCCGATTGGGAAGTCGCCGCAGCGTCAAGCGGGAGCACCTCCTAAGGAGCCAAAGGCAACAGGTGCTCCGCCAGCTCCCAGTATGTCTGTGGCTGCAGCCCCAAGCGCTGTGCCCCCGGATCCCGCCTCATTGCCCAACGTTACTCAGGGCACACCGTGGACTCTGGAGAACTTGGTGCAAGCCGCTCAGGCCGTGGTGCAGTCGCAGGTGGCCAAGGACGGAGAAAGTTCGCCAGAGAAAACTCAGAGAGCTGAGATGCGAGTCTTGAAGGTGAAGGACGTGATGGTTTGCCAGTTAAAGGAAGGCTCATCGGCGCTCCTGGACTCGGGAGCCACTCACTGCTTGAGAACAGCGAAAAGCCACGATGAATGGATGATGGCGGAAGAGGTGAGTGTTCAGTTGGCTGGTGCAGCTACTTTGCGAATGAGGATGAACGAGCATGGGACGCTTCTCATGCCACCTGCAAGGAGTGAGGACACCAGTCGAGGAGGAGAGCAATCGCATACAATCGTTCCCCTGGGCGAGCTCGTAAAGACGCTTGGCTATACATTGGTGTGGGCCCCCACAAAGCGTTACTTGGAAGATGGTGAAGGTCGACGAACGCAGCTGAGCACTTCCAGAGGATGTCCTCACATGTGTGAGGCAGAGGCCCTTTCCCTGATAGCCAGAGTGGAGGACCGGCGGCGGGAGCAGATGGAGAACTCAGTACAGGCCACCCTGGATCAGGTTACCATAGCTACGGCAATGATGGAGCAGACATGGATGGACTTTATGATCAAGTATGTCCAAGCAGGTGATTCCGATGATGGACGACGAGCCCTACGAGATGCTCCATTCCTTCAGGGACTACCAGGAGAATGCTTGAATGGTTTAGTGCAGGCCGATGTTCGAGACAGCGGGTGGAGGATTTTCAAGGATATTGAGTTTCTGTCCCGGGCGCAAAGGAGAAGGTTGTGGACAGCTAAGAGATGGGTTGTTCATCTTTGCGCTGGCGATCCAGGCCACTGGGAGGTGTTCAAGTTGGATAAAGGATCAACAACAGTGCTGGAGCTGGACATACAGAGATGCAGGTCCCACGATATCACAAGAACTCCAACCTGGAGACTCCTTATGTGGGGAGCAATGATGGGGAAGATTGATGTTATTCTGGGCGGCCCATCAGGTAGAGGTGGGTTTCCTATGGACATGGGTAGCGCAACCCACAATGATCAAAAGGCTATGACTATGGTGACCCGTATGATGTGGTTACATGCAGTGGCTAAGGCCGGGCGACTCCAGCATGCGCTCTCTACAGAACGAGGCAGACCTGTGGGCTTTCTACTGGAACATCCTACGATGAGCAAGCCAGGAAAGATTTCGTCCGTCGGCGGAGGCAGACATTCGTTGTGGGAGACGCCAATGTGGAATGAGTTTCAGACTGAGATGGAGCTAACGCAGGTGAGCTTCGATCAAAGGGCTATGGGGAGCACCACCCCAACACCAACGACATTGGGCACCAACATCTACTACCTTACAGCACTACAAGGTCAAGGTTCGGATGAGGAAGCAGATCGGGCTCTAGAGCAGGGGCCCTCAACGGATCAGTGGTCACCGGGATTGGTTGGAGCTATTGTTGCTGCTTTAACATTCTGGAGCAGTCGACCACAAGAGGCGCCAAGGCTGCAGAAAATGACAGCAGCGCAATGGAAGCAACACGTGGACTCAGGCCATATCAACTACAATCGGGAATGTCTGACCTGCGTGATGGGCCGCGGGACGGGCAGACGCCACGGCCGAATACGGCATCCGGAGATGTTCTCGCTGACCCTGGATCTAGCAGGACCAGTACAGCCGGGACTGGACGTTACATCCAAAGGGACCATGGGGAAGGGTCTACGTTATCTTTTAGCAGCCAAGTTTACGCTGCCCAAGGAGTTTGTGAAGGCCTATTCAGGGCAAGAGCCTCCTGCCGGAGATGGGATGGAGTTTACAATGGACCCCGAGATATTCCATGACAGGGAGGAGGAAGAGCGCAAGGAACTTATCAAGCCTTCTCTACAACCGCCACACGAAGGAGGGGATCAGGAGGAGGACTTTCTTGACAAGTTCAGTTTTATAGAAGAGCGCGAGGAACTCAAGAAGCCTTCTCTACAACCACCACACGAAGGAGGGGATCCGTTTATTCTTGATATAGATGAGCCAGGTGAGCAAGGTCCTTTATTTGATGAAGCAGATGAGCCAGGTGAGCAAGGTCCATCTCAACTCAGTGCGGTGATCACACCAGGAACCACAAGCTTCATTAGAGCGACGAAGGCACAGAAGGATTTGTTCGAAGATGAGGACAATTCATTATATGTACCTTCGGAGTTAGAAGAAGATGATCGTGCAGAAGTTCAGGAGGAGGACGAGCACAAAGGGAAGCCAGTTGTGGGAGATTGTGAACCCCCTGAGGCAGTGGTCTTGTTATTCGCAAAAGCTCTCAAGGATAACAGCGCTGTATCAGTGAAGAGGGCGTTGCAGGATATAGTGCTCTACTTGGAGTCATTTGGTCTACCGATCTACAGACTGCACTCAGACCATGGTGAAACGTTTAACCATACAATACGATCTTGGCTACGTGATCGTGGAATCAGAGCTACGTGGTCAGAACCCGGCGTGCCACAGGGAAACGGAAGGGCCGAGGCGGCGGTCAGATGGGTTAAGGACCAGACGCGGACTCTTTTGATGTCGTCAAGGCTTCCAACGAGGCTGTGGCCAACGGCAGCAGAAGCAGCTGTCGCTGCTCAACGGGCCCGCACATTGGGGCTAAAATCCAAGTTGGCCGCCCCCTACGGGTCAACCGTCCTCATCAAGCAGAAGGCGTTCGACTCTGGTGGCCCAAGAAGGAGAGACAAAGCCTTTGAGTCGAAATGGCTTAAAGGAGTGTACGTAGGCTTGAGTGGGATATTGGATGGCGGACATGTCATCTACTTCCCGGCGTCTGATGGCTCGAAGGAGAAGTTTGCGCACACGTTCCACATACGGGGGAACCTCGTGGACCCAGGCCCACCAGGAGATTCGCTGGTCATTGATGGACCCCCAAGGCCCAAGCGACGGGTCATTGGAAAGGTTCCAATGGAGAGGATCGACATGAAGGCGATCGTTTGGGACAAGTCGACAACACCAGCCCAAGTAGAGGAGCAAGCGACATCCTTGCTGGAAGCCTGGTCCATTGAGGAAGCCTACCAGTTTGTGGATAATTTAGCAGAAGCAGACTTCTTCGCGGAGCGGAAGTTCGGCGTGTATCGTCACGGAGGAGCTGTTGGCTGGCTCACAGGATTCGCGGAGTTCCCACAGGTGAGTCGGGTGTTGGCTAAGATGGTCACTGAAGTGGTGCCTGAAGCAACCTTTACCTCTATTTGGGTGTCGAGGAACATTCAGCGGCTGATGCACATGGATCAGAACAATGATGAGGACACCTACAATTATGCGATCCCAATCCGTGTACCGCAGCGAGGTGGAGAGCTATGGGTGGAGCTACGGAAGGGAGATAAAGTATGTGGCCCACTTAAGGAAAAGGTTGGAGATAAAGGCCAGCGATATTATGGGCATGTGCTGGAGCAGCGTCTAGGTGAATGCAATGTATTTCCTCCCCGGCGA